AAAGTAAGTTTCATTTTTTTTTTTTGTTTAGAAAATGGTTTTTCTAGAGAAAGGTTGGATACTACACTATTTATTAAGAATAAAGCACCTGATATCCTAAAGTTGTGCAAATCTATGTTGATGAACATAATCTTTTGGTTCTAACTAATGACCTTCTTTGTAAGGAATTTTCTAAGAATTATGCAGGGTGAGTTTGAAAATGAGTATGAATGGAGAAATTAAACTTCTTCCTTGGACTTCAAATCAAACAATGTGACAAGGAATCTCATAAACCAAGGCAATACAACTCGAGATTGTTAAAAAGGTTTCAAAATGGGAGAAATGCCAAGGTATGTAGTACACCATGAGTCCATCCTCAAAATTAGAAAAAGATGAAAATGAAAGGAATGTGGATATTAAGATGTTTATGAAGTATGATTGGTTTCTTTACTAATCTAACTGCAAGCAGACCTGACATTCACTTTAGTGTTTGTTTATGGTGCTAGATTTCAATCATGTCCCAAAGAATCTCATTTAATTGGCTGTAAAAAGAATTCTAAAGATGATCTTGTGAACTTTCTAATCTTAGGTCTGTGGTATTTCTAAAGATGATACATTTGATCTTGTGGGTTATAGTGATTCTGATTTTGTAGGAAGCAAAATAGAATAGAAAAAGCACGTCTGAAAACTTGGCCAGTTTCTAGGGTAGCGCCCTTGTATCATGGTTTAGCAAGAAACAGACTTTTGTTGGCTCTTTCTACTGCAGAAGCAGAATATATGCTGCTTGGAAGCTGTGTTGCCACAAGTCTCTGGATCAAACAACAATTGGCAGACTATGGTCTGAAATTAGAAACTGTTCCAATCAAATGTGACAACATAAGCGCTATCAACTTATCTAAGAATCCAGTCCCAGCACCCTAGACAAGCATATAGAACTCAGACCATTCAACTTCATACGTGATCAATGTCAAAAAAGGTGATATAGTGATCGAGTTCATTCCTACAGAAAGCAATTGGCTGACATTTTTACTAAAACCTTTAAAGGAAAGTCAATTCTGCTTGATTAGAAGAGAACTGGGTATGTTAATTCTAAAATCTTAATTTAAAAACTCTGTGAGTAATGTTCCTAAAAATGCCTTTCTTATATTTGATAATGAAAAATCTGTTTATGTGTTATGTCTAAAAAATTCTATCAAAATGTTGTGTGTGACTTTGAAAAACATTTTTGTGTTTAGAAGAGCTATGTAAGGTTCTGATGTGGATTTCTAATGTCACTGATTTCTAATATCTTCATCTACATCAGATTTTTTCTTAAAAAAAAAAAAATCATTTTTAAAAATTATTTTATTTTTATTTATTCCATCTTTTTGTTTTTTTTTTTGTTGTTTTTGTGTGTTTTTTATTTAAATTCTTGCTTAATTTTTTTTCGGAAATGAAATCAAGTTTAGAAAAAGAAAAAGAAGATTCTTCAGAAAAAGAAAAAGCTGAGAAAGACAAAACAGAAAAGAAAACATTAAGTTTAGGGCTGAGAAGGACAAAACAGAAAAAAGAAAATACAATTAAGTTTTAGAAGAAAGAAGAAGCTGATAGTAAGAAGAAGAAAGGGGGAAATAGCGTTCCACGAGAAGAAAACCTTACCTCTGCATCCCTTTTCTTAAACAATCTGAGAATCCACCTGAAACTTCACCTGTTTCAAAATCTCAGGAGTTCTAAAAGACCTCAAAACTGATTCTAAATCCTATTTGATTTCTTTCCTAATTCTACTCTCTGATTATGTTTCTATTTGTCTTTGTGAACAATTTTCCTGTTATTTGCTCTATTTTATTTGTGTCAAGTTGTTTGTTTTAGAATTTTCTTACTTTGTGGTTTTTTTTTTAATTTCTATTTTGCTCTTTCTAAATTTTGTTTTGTGACAATTTTCTGTTATTTGCTCTATTTTATTTGTGTCAAGTTTGTTTGTTTTAAAAAATTTTCTTACTTGTTTTTTTTTTATTTCTAATTTTGGCTCTGATTTACTAACCCTTTTTTCTCTGATGAGCAAAAAAGGGAAGAGCAACAGTACATTGATGCTTGAGTACTTGGAGGAGAACATAAATTATTATTTAAGTAACTTAATCTCTTTGGTTTATAATGTTCTAATCGTGATATTTTATTATAATGTGGAGACACAGTACACTTGATGCTTGAGTACTTGGAGGAAGCACATAATATTTATTAAGTACTTAATCACTTGCTTATATATCTATATCTGGTGATATTTTTGTTCTAATGTATTGTTTCTATGTGAACAGAAATGCCCTTTTCATGCTCTGATTGGTTAGACTTAAAAACTTAGTTCAATTCTATAAATGCTCTGATTAAAAGACTTAGAACTCCCAGTTTAATTTCTAATGTCAGTTTCAAATCTGTAATTCTGTTCTAATATCCCACGATATTATATTTACTTATTCAGGGGGAGTTTTATATAAGTTCCAATCTTGGCTTCATGATCAAATCCGTTTATGTTTAGAAACTTTTAATTTTATTGACATGCATAAATTTTAGGGGGAGCCACATGATTTATGTTTGATAAAATTTATTGGTTTTTGTCATCATCAAAAAAGGGGGAGAATTGTTGGGCTCAAGGGTCAATTTTAATCTTGAGATTTTTTTGATGAATTATACAAAAAATAAATTTAATATTCTTGTATGTGCTAAGTATATTTTATGCAGAAATTATTGTTGAAAAATTATTTGAAGAAATGAATTCCTAACATCCAAGATTTTTTTTGAAAAGACCATGAAAGATTAATGAAGATATTTTTCTATGGTTAGTATTATAATAAGTCTTAGGAAATTATTGTAAGGATAAGAGGTAAAGTGATATTAATAAGCCACAAATCTATTTTATCTCTCCTCAAAATTGTTTTTGAATGTTTTTGAATAAAATTTATTAAAGAGGATATAGCCAAAATCCTTTACTCTTCAACGTTTTTCCATCTAAAATATAATTTGGAGAATAATTCTTGGAGTTAAATAAATGAAATTCTGCCAAAAAAAGACATTCTGATCTAAAAAGCAGTTTCCTGATTTAATCAGCTGTCTATTCTATATACACTTGTGTCTGTTTTTCCTGATATAAATGTTACACTTTTTCTAAACTGAACCTTTCATCTCCAAACCTTGCATGTGTAAATATTAAATGTGGTCTAACAGCCCTTTTAATTGCAAAACCATGCATTGCCTCGTTAGTTTAAAAAAAAAATCAGAAACTTTATTGACTCATTAAAGCAAAAAATCTCAAAAGTTTAACTTCAAAAAAGAGAATATGGCATCTTTTCATGATAAACCATTTTCCTCTTTTAAAAAAGAATGGGTTTTGCAAAAGAAGTATGAGTTCATTGTTCAGAGTTTTAAATCTCTCAAAGCTCTTCTCTTCAATCCCCTATTTCTTTCAATCTCTTTTGCTCAAGAAAAAAAATTTTTAAGAGAAAAGAAAATTTATTAACAACATTTTCTGAAGAACAGTTCTGATATTTAAATCTGTTTTCTAAATTCGTTTTCTGTTCTTCTGTGCTTATATTTGCATTTCTCTCTGTCTATATAGATTTTGTAATCTGTTGTAAACAGACTCTTTATTTGAAAAACTTTTGTGTAATAGCTTAGGTGAAAAGCTATGGTGTTATAGGTTATCAAACGACCTTCTCCTTGTGTGAGATTCTAATGTCTTGATTTGAGTTTCTGATCTCTGCAAAATCAGAAAGGGTTGAGAAGGGGTTGAGGTTAACTAGAACCTTTGGAAAATCTAGTGGGATAAAGGTTAGATCTAGGTGTTGATCTATTTCCTTGTATTGTTGGTTTGTCTCTTACTTACCCTTGAAAAGAGATAACATAGTGGAGGATCTCAAGATGCGTCTTGGGGAGTGGATCTAGGCGAGTTAGTGCGGAACCACTATAAATCTCTGTGTTTTTCTTCTTTTACTTTCTGAAGTTCTGCTTGATTATATTCTATTTACGCAACTATTAATCTGTTTAGAAATGCGATGTTGTTAATGAGTTTCTGATTTTAATCGTGAATAAGCTTTATCTATGTGGAACATTAGAACTCTGGATTTCTGAGAATTTCTGGTGATTGTGATTTTTACCAAGTTCTAATCTGTCCTTCTGATATTGCAGTGTAATTCACAATATGAATTATAATTCATTTTTCTAATCTTGCTTAAAGCGGTTTGGTGAATCCAGTTCTAAAAATGCAATAACTGCGTTCACTGAGTCTTTACGTACAAGAATAGCAATTAAACTTTTGTGAAGCTGTTCTAATCTGGCAAAAGCTTGTTCTTTCACAAGAGGTCTTTTCTAAAAAATTGCTTAAAGCTTTGTGAAGCTGTTCCTAATCCAATTAGCTGTCCTTTCACAGAGTTGATTCTAAAATTGCTTTAAAGCTTTGTGAAGCGAGTTTCTAAATGCAATAATTGATTCTTTTCACAGGAGTTCTTTTCTAATCGTTGCATATAAGCTTTTGTGGAGGCAAGTCTAAACTTGATAACTAACTCTTCACAAATGCTTTCTAATTTGCGGCTGCCAATTAGAATTCTGATTTTTGTTTTAAAAGTTAAATTTTAGAAGAATAAAACCCAATTTGAATTCTGATTTTTGTTTTTAAAAGTTAAATTTTTAGAAAACCCAATTCACCCCCCCTCTTGGGTTGTGCCATATATAAACGGGACCCATAAAATTTTATAGTTATTTCGTTGGTAAAAAACAAATATCGTCGAGATATTTTGCCTGTGATTCATGAATTAAAGTTTATCACTATTGTTGTCCGAATTTTGACGGTAAATCGAGGGGCTGTTATTTGGCGCGTTTATTATCAACATATTAGCGAGAATCACTTTTTTGTCACTAATTAGCCACGAAATACCTAAAAATTGTGCCTTAATATATCTCAAATAATACTAATTTTCAATAATTTACATTTTGTCGGTATTAGTCAGTATTTTGTCACTAAATACCTACAAAATTTTTGTCGATAATTTTTGTCGCTAAATCTCTATTTTCTTGCAGTGGTTGGATTTAGTACCAAATTGATGAGTAACTACAGAACACCAGAAGAAACAATAAAATTAACCCACAAAAACTGAAGTAAACAATGTTTTTGAAATAGAAAAAATGTTTTTGAAATAGAAAAAATGTTTTTTCTTCATGATATATGACACTGGTTTTTCATTATTCAAGAAGAGCAATGGTTGGAAATAAAAACTACTATCAAATCATCGCCTATAAGTTGGAGCTTTTAGGTTAGTGGTTTCTTCATTGTGTCAAAGCATATTTGAACAAAAATGTTTTTCTACCTACCTTTCTCATTAACCTCTTAAGAAATTTCATAGATTTTGTTATAAGCCAAAATATATTAGAAAGATAAATTATTGTTGGGCCAATGTCACTTACCTTCCTTTTCATGATGTTTTTCAGAAAGTTGATCTCTTACACGTAGAATGTATTCAGCATTAAGCTTTGTTTCTGAATCTTCTAAGACTAAATACATGGAGAAGCTCTTGCCTTTCTCTGTTGCATTCCCATTGGGATAAAGGGATAAACTTCTAATTAAAATTGAAAAGACATAAATTATGGCTCATTGCAATAATGAAGTTATTTTATATCAATTTTGAAGCTGAAAAACACTTCTTTACTTACCATTTAAGCCCACTAATGTCCAACACCTGGGACTTAAGATTTTCTTTGCTTTGCCAACTTTGAACCTTCCAAGTGAAGGCGTTGTTAGAAAGCTCCTTCACAATAGACATTCGCTCACCTTTACCAGTACATTCCACAACAAAGACCTCAGCTCCAAATACACAACGATCATCGATAAGGTATCCATTTGAAGAATCATTAAAAGCATCATGCAAAACAAATTGGTCAAAACCCCATTCAGTTTTCATTCCACGAAAACGCCTCACTCTTTCCCTAACATCTAACCCAAAAGAGCAAAGCATACAAGTATTTGACTCAATTGATTAACATAGATAACAGTTGAATTATGGAAGATTATGTATAAATCAACTATATATATAGTACCTTGAACAGCCAAATACTTGTCTTGAATTTGATTATAAGCAAACAACTTGAAGAAAGCACTAACCTCAATATGTAAGGGTAATCCATTTCAATTGGATAGAGCTAAATATAGAGATATTTAGCCAAGATGTTAGGTATTTGAAAGTATACTGATATGAATTCTGTTTTGATCTTGTGGCTCTAATTTATTTTCAATAAGTTGCCAGTTGGCATTGACGGTTATTTTTTCTTAGTTTAAGAGCAATAGAGATCTATTTATTTTCAATAAGTTTTGCCAGTTGGCATTGACGGTTTAATTTTTTCTTAGTTTAAGAGGCAATAGATTTAAGAGCAATAGAGATCTGTATGAGAAAACTCTCTCTTTGTACCTGTATTTTCGATTCTCTCTCAAGAAAATGATCTGAATTTCTCAGTTGATTTCTTCTTGACTATGATTTCCATGAATTAGCTCATCATGGTATCAGAGCATATAGGTTACTGAAGGTTGATCTTTAAATTCTTTTTCTTCTGCATCAATCAGAGCAAATGACGAATCCCGATGATTTGGAGCCAAACAGATCTCAGATTGCAATATCAGAAGCTGAATTGACTAATGATCCTCTGAATTTAACTAATTCAGATCATCCTGGACTGAATCTAGTCAGTGTACCTTTGAATGGAAACAATTATCACTCTTGGAGCATATCCATAACTATAGCTCTCAGAGCGAAGAATAAGCTGGATTTCATTAATGGAAGGTATGAGAAACCTAACTCTAATTCTCCTGTGTATGAGAAATGGATGAGAACAGACAGTATGGTAGTTTCATTGCTTTTGAACTCAATATCGAAAGATATCGTTGAAGCTTTTCTATATTCAAATTCAGCCAAAGAACTTTGGGATGAATTATTTCAAAGATATGGTGATAGTAATGGACCTCTTCTTTACCAGATCACAAGGGAGATTTGTAGTTTTAGCCAAGGAAATTACAATTACTCAATAACAGTGTATTTCACGAAACTTTAAACAAAAGTGGGATGAATTGGCTAGTTTAAAGAAGTTTCCTGTTTGCAGTGCGGTTGCAGCAAAATTTTTTTTATTGGATTTTTGAGGATGATGCAAGTTGATGCAATTTCTTTATGGGCCTAAATGAAGTATGATCACGTGAGGAAGAATCAAATTTTACTGATGGACCCCTTGCCGTCAATTAATAAAGCTTATTCAATGGTCTTGCGTGTGGAGAAGCAAAGAGAAATGAACCATTTTACTGTTGAATCTAGTGAATCTTCTGCAATTTTGCTTGCTCAGGGTAATTCAGGTTACAAGAAAAGAAATTTTAAGGATACCAAGAACAATTATAAGAGAAGGGAGAGTACTGGAAAGGAGAACCAGTTTTGTGACAATTGTAGAACCAAAGGCCATACAAGGGAGACATGTTTCAAGATTGTAGGATATCCTGATTGGTATTATAAATTAAAGCAAAAGAAAGGTCAGTCACAGGCTCATATGGTTGACAATGCAGGAGAAACTCCTTTTGATGTCCAGAATGAAAACTCAAAAGGACCTACAGCAGAATGGAGTGAAAATCTCACTAAGATCATTCAACAAGAAGTTATGAAAGCCATGAAGGGCAAAAGCCATGAAGGGCAAGTAGATGATGACTTTAACTGATGAAAATGTATATGTGAACAATTATTCTTTTGCAGGTACTGCATCTAACAAGGTTTTTAAAGGTACTGATGATAAGAACATAGGTGAATGGACCATTGACACAGGGTGTACTGACCATATGACCTATAACATTTCTTTTTTTGACATATTACACAAATTAGCCAAACCAAAATCTGTCAAATTACCTGATGGAGCCATAAAACTAGTTCATTATATAGGAACAATAAAGCTAAATGACAGAATTATTTAGAATAATTTTGACGAATGTCCCTTACATACCTTCTTTTCAAATGTAATCTGATCTCAGTAAATCAATTCCAAACGCAAATAAAATTGCAGTTAATCCTTACATTGTTCTAGTTTTTTGCAAGATTTTGGCAGAGTAACGAGAAGATTGCCATTGGTCACTTGAGCAAGATTGGGTATATATTTGCTGAATAAGAAGTCTGTTGATATTGTAGTAGTAAAATGTATGGCTACTTGTAAACTTGAAATAGTGAGGAAAATAACAAAAGTTTAAACCTTTGGCAAATACAAAAGTTTAAACTTTGGCATTCTAGACTAAGACATGTTTCTAATCAAAGACTGAGATATGCTGGTGTACTTGATCATGATGAATTGTGTGACATTGTATGCTCAATATGTCCTATTTCTAAACAATCAAGAGTTCCTTTTCCTACAAATTTTACAAAATCAGAAAAATTATTCCAATTAATACACATAGATCTGTGGGGTCCTTATGGTGTGCGGTCTATAACTGGAGCAAAATTCATGGTAACTATAGTGGAAGATAAATCTAGGTATACATGGGTGTATATGATAAATAGTAAGCATCAAGTTTGTTCAGTTTTAAGCCATTACTTGCAGTTAATTGAAACACAATTTGGAGTTAAAGTGCAAAAGGTTAGAACCGACAATGGAATTGAGTTTTTGAATATTTAATGTAGGGAATTATTTCAATCTAAGGGTATAATGCATCAAAGATCTTGCATATACACTCCCCAACAAAATGGTGTGGTAGAGAGAAAACATAGAACTAAGGCGTATAATAGCATCAAAGATCTTGCAGTATACAATCACCCCAACATAGTAATGTGTGTTTTGTAGGAGAAAAACATAGGAGTTGTATAGATATGAAAGTTGTGCATTGTATGTTCCAAGTCATTTTTCCCTAAAAATTTCTGGGGCGAGACTGATATGTCTTTTGTGCAGCATCACTCATATAAAATAGGAAATAACCTACTGTGTTTTTAAGATTGGGAATTCACCTTCTCGAGGAATTGAATGGGTGAAAAACACTCACCGATATTCTCATATTTTATGATACTAATTCGTTGCCTTTTGTTTTGCAACAAATTACCAAACCCTACAAAACAAAATCGGATCATAGAGCCACAACTTGAGTTTTTTACTTGGTTACTCCCCAAAACCGCACAACCTGCAGTTTTACTTGGTTACTCCCAAAACCATAAAGCATATAAATTGTTCAATATTAATTCTAAAACCATTTTTCATTCTCGAGATGTACTTTCTTATGAACAACAATTTCCTTTCCAAATTTCCCACTCCATTACCCATGATACACCTGTTTTACCAAATATATTAGAACCAGTTAATGATTTTCATCATGATCTTAAAAATAATTCCTCTTTATCAAATTCTCCTTCTTCCGAACTTTCAAACTTGCTTACCCAATTACATGATTCATTAGATATTCAGGAGAGTCATATTATATCAGATGCACATAGTCATTCATATCATGAAACTAGATTAGAATATATAGATTCTCAACCAGTCATTAGAAGGAGTAATAGAGTGACACAAAAACCATCTTGGCTTCAAGATTTTGTGGCAGCAGCACATACCAATGGTACATCATCTGTTACTCAGCGATCTATCTCAGGTATTTCTACTCTCCATCTCGTCCATCCCGTTCTGCACTTTTAACTAACATCCTTATGCATTAGTTCATCATATACTTCTTTGTATCCAATGTTCAAAGATTCCAGAGCTTTGTTTCTTTTCATCAGAGTCTAATAAAGACCATTTGAGATTAGGTGCAAGCCATCAAAAAGGGAACTGTGCAGCCTTAGGGAGAACAAGACTTGAGTTCTAACTGATGGATTACCAAAGGGTAAGAAAACTATTGTTCCTAGAGAATGGGGTGGTACAGGTAAAAGTACAATAAAGTACAGATGGGAGTGTTTACCGTATAAGGCACATTTAGTTGCCAAACAGGGGTAATATACACAATTGATGGGTTAGAAGTATAGCCTGTAACACTTGGTTCCCCTGTTGGCTAATACTAGTGATTGTTAGAATATTTTGGCAGTTGTTTGCTTCTAAAGGGTGCGTTCCTGCAGCTATTGGTATATCAATAAAATGTCATATTCTACTCTCATTGGCTTTTTCTTGATGAAGAAGGATATTATGATTTATACACCTCCAGCAGGTTACACTCCCAATAAGTCATTCAGACAGGGATCTGGCAAGTTACAGACGATCCTCTTTGTATGCCTTGAAAGTAATGCGGCTTCCAATCACATGAATAAAGAACTTACCAAGCATTTTTAGTTTTTAGAGATATCGGTTTCAACACCCAAGTCCCAATAAGAAATGAATCATTGCTCTTTTTACAAAAAGGTAACCAATGATTTTTTGGCATTTATATTATACAGTTCTCGATTGGGTATTGATTACTGAATTTGATGGAAAAGTTGATCTTGGCATGTCAAGCAGTTTTACATGACAAAATTTACATTATCAAAAGGAATCTAGGCTATGCTAAGCTTTTCCTTAGTTCGGTAGATCGCTAAATCAGAAACGGGCTCCTGATGGTTTACACAAGATAACAATATATAATATGGATTTTGTAGCAGTGAGTAGTTTACCAAGGATGCACAAGCCTCGCACACAGTACTACTCCTTTAAATCAGGAGATGCCTGATTTACAACTTTAAACCAGATGTGACGGTTGACATTATTGAAAGGAATCGTTTGGAACAGATGTAGTCTGAAAGTTTAAGTGGCGCATTGCTCTACCTCAATATTTAAACACTAAGACCAGAATGTACTTGTACTCAGCTTCCAGGCAACTGGAGTTTCCAATTCATTGCAATGCCCCTACTACAACACATCTTAGAAAGCTGCTATTCATGGTGAAGTACTTGAAAAACTTATCAACAACAGATTGTTTTTTCCTGCCACCAATTCT